CAAACATCACTCTTAAGCCCACTTGTATCAAGAACATTAATCTCATTAGAACGTGCTGGTTGTCCACTATCCATTACACCAGTAGGTGCTGCAGCAGCACAATTACCACTCTCACTAGTGGGATTGGGAAGCTGGGACTGAGATCCCACAGTAGGTGCAGAAGTAGTACCAATGGTTTCATCACCTCCACTAACAATTGGAGTTCCGTCTTCGGAGGCATTCGAACCCATTTCAAGCACCTACACAAAGCAAAATCATAGTGAATTGAGTGAGCTATGACTGTTCCACTACTTAACCAACTCTTAATGCAATGCATACAAAGCATTATCTATCCACTTCGTGCCTAAAGGTAACCAGCTTGTTAGCAATTACCCTATCTAGCTAACCAGCTTTGCAAGATAAACAGAAGCAGTTTCAAGATGAATCGGGATGCGGTGGTGTGCATTTGGCAGCTTAGAACCACTTCCTAGATAACAATTGGCATTCAACATCTCAAATGCATTTCACTAAGACATGGGATGCGCTGTAATGACGCCGGAAATACATACCAAGAGACATAAACATATATGTAACCACTGATTCATCAAGTTAACCATACGCCAAAACAAGCAAAGTGATTCATCTCAGTGGTACATACTAAATGTAAACATCAACACACAGTTGAAACCCCCAAGATACTCTGCACCCTTTAGGAATTAGGGCTATCTAGTTACAAAAGAAGAGGAACACACCTAGATGGAGGAACAAGGTGTAAACAATTACCCTACCTAGATGGTACCCTCTGCCCAGATGGAGTCGGAGCCTTGGAGTGGCGATCTTGCGGAGCAGAAGAGCAAGGAGAGGGTGGTGGGGGAGGGCGGCGGGAGTGGAGTCGGAGGCGCGCGCCGAGGAGCAGGGAGATAACGGCGTGACTGAAATCGGGAGAGGAGTCGGAGGCGCGACCGCGTAGCAGAGGAGAAGGGAGAATTCGGCGTGACGGAATCGGGAGTGGAGTCGGAGGGGCGGCAGCCGCGTAGCAGAGGGGCAGCCGGCAAGATAGGTTTTGGACGGTGGCGTCCGTTGGATTGGAGTCGGGAGTCGGGACGGTAGGGCGGACTGGAGGTGGAGACTGGACTCTGGTCTAGAGATCGCGAAAGGAGAGGGGCGCCAGCAGCCTTTTTCTTTTGGGGGAGATGGGGTAATTTCGATTGTATGGGAAATTAGGGTTTAGTCACTTAGTATGCGTGTCCGGGTATCCATGGGTCGGGTTCCCCCAAACCCGAACTCGCCCCAACCCGACCAAGCAGCCACCGGGTTTAAACCCGAACCCGACCCGAACCCGGTCAACACGGATTTTACCAAATTTGACCGGGTTGGGTCGGGTCGGGTACCCGCGGGTCCGGGTTTCACTGCCATCCCTAATCAGGAGGAGTGCAAATGGAGGAAATGCTCAAGGGCTGACTGACTAAAAGAGGGAGATAGCAACACAGGTTTCTTTCACAGGAAAGGTTCATAAAGAAGAATACGCAATACAATTAGAAGGCTTCTGGATGATTCGGGCAGACTTTGGACAGTGTAGAAACTTGTCTAGTGGACTACTATAAGGGTCTGTTCACGTCAGGGGAACCTCCCTCCACGAGTCAGATATTATCAGTTGTGGATCATAGGGTTACCCCAGAAATGAACTAGGTACTTATGCGGCCTTTTACTAAAGATGAGATTTGGGAAGCACTAAAAAGAATAGGGCCAACGAAAGCCCCAGGGCCAGACGAGATGCTATCGCTCTTTTTCCAGCACAACTGGGAAGTTGTAGGTCCAGAAGTGACAAAGACCCTCACAACTTACTTAGAACAAGGATGGTTTCTTGTACAATTGAATTACACCCTAATAGCCCTAATTCCGAAGACTAAGAAGCTGGAGAAACCACTGGAGTTTCGTCCCATTAGCCTCTGCCAAGTCCTCTATAAGATTATGGCAAAAGCTTTGGTAAACAGACTAAAAAGGATTCTGCCTAAGGTGATAGGGGAAAACCAGAGTGTGTTCTGATTGCATTTGAATGTTTTCATGCAATCAAAAACAAGAAGAAAAAAAAAGCAAAAACAGGGATTATGGTTGCCAAACTCGACATCTCGAAAGCCTACAATCGACTGGAATGGCATTTTCTATAAGCAATGATGTTGAAGCTTGGTTTCCACGATAGATGGGTGCAATTGATTATGAATTGTGTTAGAACGGTTGCCTACTCTATCCTAGTAAATGGGCATAGAACTATGGAGTTCAAGCCGGATCGAGGGCTTAGACAAGGTGACCCACTGTTACCTTACTTGTTCATCCTCTCTGTAGAGGAATTGTCGGCTAAGATCAATCAAGAAGTTAACAGGGGAACGATCCATGTCCTAAAGGTATCCTGCAAGGGACCAGCTATCTCACACCTTCTATTTGCAAACGATAGCATACTATTTGCTAGAGCTACACAACAGGAGTGCAGGAAGATAAAAGAAATTTTGCAGACATATGAGCTTGAATTGGGACAGAAGGTGAATCTACAGAAATCTGAGATTAGCTTCTCCCCAAGTGTAAAGGCAAACAAGGCAAAGGAGTTGATAGACATCCTAGGGATGAGACACGTGACAGCATGTGAAGTACCTAGGACTTCCTACTACAATATGTAGTCAAAAGAAGGTCGTATTTGGGTTCTGGTTGATCGTGTGAGGAAGAAAGTCAAGCATTGGAAGAGTCAGACTCTATCGAATGCAGCCAAGGAAGTCTTGATTAAGTCAGTCGCACAATCTCAAGCTACATACACCATGTCGGTGTTCAGAGTGCCAGAGGGAGTCTTGGATGAGATGAGAAGAGTGATTTCAGCTTTCTGGTGGGGACAGCAGGGGGAGGAAAAACGAATTCCCTTGAAAGCTTGGACGAAGCTATGAAAGCCTAAAGAAGAAGGAGGGATGGGGTTTGGAGATTTTGGCACTTTTAACCTGGCTTTACTAGGGAAGCAAATCTGGAACCTACTGGAGAACCCAGAGACCCTCGTAGCTCGGGTTCTAAAAGCCAAGTACTTTCCACATTCTGATATCCTAGGTGCCTCTATGGGGAACAACCCAAGTTACACTTGGAGGAGCATGATGGCAGCACAGGAGCTAGTGAAACGGGGTCTGAGATGAAAATTGGGAAATGGAGCGAATATTAATATGTTGTAGGACAAATGGATCCCAGGAGCTGAAGAAAATTACTACAGAGTGACGTCCATGAGATCAGACTTGGGAGATGGTGATCAGGTGAATGTCCTAATTGATTTTGACACTAGAACTTGGAAAAGATCGTTGCCACAACATCATTTCAATGTTGAGAATCGAGCACGCATCAAAGGGATACCTATCCCTAGACAACCATCAGTGGACAAGAGGATATGGAGTAGAGAGAAGTTAGGCAAGTACACAGTTCGCTCAACGTATAAATTTTGGTACAAGACCAGGAACAATGAAGAGATAGGGGACGAGAATGAGTAGGCAGGGGGAGAAATATACGATCCCATGAATTGGAAGCGCCTGTGGGCTCTAAATGTCCCTCTCAAGGTGAAGAATTTTCTATGGAGATTTGCCCATGACATTCTCCCTACGGCGAAAAATATCGAGGTGCGGAAAAAAGATGCACCTATTGAATGTCCATACTGCAATCAGATAGAGACACAAATTCACATATTCAGAGAATGTTCGTGGACTACTAGAATCTGGAGACCAACGGAATTTTGACCCCTTTTCAAATCAAGGGAAAATCTTTCCAGTGGTAGTTGGCTCTGTGAAATAATGGAGCGAGTGGATGACGAAGTGCTAAGTCGACTAGGGATGATTCTATGGAAGATATGGGGGGGGGGGGGGGGGGGGAAGAAACAATCATCTGTTTAACAACCACAAATTGGAAGAATGAGAGGTTGTTGGCCGAGCCCTAGATCTACTCGAAGAGTTCCAATCACACAGAGAGAAGAAATAGAAGACAAAGGGGGAGGAAGAATTACCTGGTCGCCACCTCCAACTGGCTGGAACAAGATCAATGTAGACGCCGCTGTGTTGAAAAAGGAAGGGGCTGGACTTGGGATGGTGGCGAGAAATGCGACGAGGGAGTTCCTTTTGGCATCGGTGACGAGGGAACGCTCCTAGTGGGAACCAGAACTGGTGGAAGCTCGAGCCGTACTAAACGTGATGAGGTTGGCAATCCAACACCAGCTGCTCCCGGTGATTATTGAGACGGATTGTCTAGGTCTGGTGCAGCAATTTGGAAATGGTGAACAAAAGGGAACGGAGGTGGAATCAATTGTGGAAGAGATAGAGAAGACAGCGGAAGAAGCCGGGCTATAGAACTTTCAGTGGGCTTTGCTAAGCGGCAAGCCAACTTTGCAGCCCACCTGATGGCTCACACGAATTGTAACTGGGAAGCCAGGAGATATGGACCACCAGACCTCATATTTTCCTCTGTTCCATTCCTGCTTAAGACTGTAATGGCCCAATTTCTACCTAAATAAAATGAGCAGGTTTCTATTAAAAAAATCCTATTAGTGCTCGCCGCTGTCTACCAATAGAGTTATTCTGCTAACTGCATAAGTTGTTAGTATATACTAACTAATATCCAAAATGTATGAACTAGTATCCAAGTCTGCTGATTTTACTAAAATATCTAGATAGCACAGACTAGTATTCAAAACATCACAAAACTAGTATCCAACTCACATAATTAGTATTCAACCAATCAATTACCAACTAGTATTCAATATGGATACTCTTATGTGTTATCTGGATACTAATCATGTGATGTATGAATACTATTCTGTGTTGTCTAGATATTAGTTTGTGAATTTGGGATATAGTTTATTCATGGCGGATATCAATTAGCAAACTTTGTATATTAGTCTGTGCTCTCAACATACTTTAGTAAATCTTCGTATTAACTTTTTCGGCTGTCTGATGGATTCCCTATTTTCTATGTAAAATCAAAATTACACAAAGGAACCTTGGGGTGTATAAGAGGAGAATATAGCTGGAGCCTGGAAGAGCGACGACGAGGAGAAATTCAGTGAACCCGACGCCGGCCGATAGTACCCCTCTTCTCTTGCCCCATCTCGTAGTCCGCCGCAGCCCAAAATAATGCCCGACGATCTCACGCCGCCTCCTGCCGATGCAGTCTCCGCTCCTCCGGAGGCCGGATCCACTCCGTCTTCACCGCCGCCGCCAACGCCTTCTCCTTCATTCGATCCGAGTCGAAGTAAACTCCTTGACCCTTAATTTATGTGGTTTCTCCCAATTTTCCCTGATAGGGTTTTCTTCCCCCTTCTCGCTTCTGGCAGCACAGCCACTGTTATAAATTGAAATCAACTGCAAAACCTTGACAACTGTTTTGTTTTTTCTCTTTTTCGTCTGGCAGTGATCGGTATAATCAAGAGGAAGACATTGATAAAAGAGTTGGCGGCTGTTTACCACGCTGAGTGCCTCGCGTATTGCCAGGAGCTGCTGGAACTACAGAAGAAGTCGGAAGAGGTCAGTTACATCCCTTCTTCTTCCAGTGAAAACTGGAAAGTATCGATCTTTAACATACACGCCATTCGCTATACGAATATGCTTATATGAGAACTGCTGCGTAGAAGTTCAGCCTACTGCTAGTGAATTTTGCCCCAACTCTGTCCAGTTACTGCTCTTTTTCGTTTGTTGATGGCTTTCATCCATGGCAGACCTTTAAATCTGTGGGCTAGTAGTGATGATTGTTCATGCCAATAAGTGCTGTAAATTGGTTGCCTTGCAGCCGTTTCTGGATTCAAAACCTCCTGAAGATTCAAGGAAGGAGACAACGAGACCCACAAAACGCTCCAAGAAGGGTCGGTAGGCTACATCTCATAGCTGGAATCTGTTCGCTTTCTTTGCGGATTGATATGGAAGTCCTTCGAATTTCTTGCTGCTATCAAATTGGACGAATTGGTACACAACCAAAAATGGTAACTTCTCATTACAATAAGACGTGATCTAGTGGCGCCATGGCAGTAATGTGGTTTGAACTGCACCTATGATTCGCAAGTTCGAGCTGATGGCGCTGTTGCTGACGGGATGCGTTGCAATCGTCATCTAAAGAGTGCTGTTGTTTAGTTATTGTTGTTTTTGTACCAATACGGTATGAGAATGAGATAAATACTCTTGTTGGAGATCGAGATGGCAATGGCAGTAGGGAACAAAGTATCTAGATCATTTTGGCTGTGAAACCTAATTAAAGAGGGAAGTTCAGGCCTTGTGCAACTCTTTCTAATTTCCAGAGAAAATTGTCTGCTGTTGTTACATCTTATCTATTGTCAATGTACATATAACACAGATACATGACTCATCTCTACAATTTTCTTTCCTTTCTCTATACGAAGTCTGTGTCGATATCCAAAATTCTGTCTGTAATCTACCAACAGTGAAGAGGTTTACTGAAACCAAGTCCTCAGCCAACCATACGTTGTCACCATGATCTGGAACATGCCACTGATTTTCAACTAGCTGAGAGCAAGCACAGAGCAAAAATAAAGTATCGTTAGAAACACCACAGGCAAATGTAACACAGAACCAAGCAACTGACTCCTCAACTATTATTTACCTTAGCAGGCTTGAACTAAAAGGCCAAACTTTTTGCAAGAGGATACTTGCGAAGGGGAACAAACCACTCTGCCTTTCCATGATCCTTTCAACCGCAGCACCCTTTTCGTGGACAAATTTAACAGATTCTGACAGCCGATTTAGAAGATTGATCAATGCAATTACTTCATTCCTCTGTAACTGCAACTGAATTCAATCAACAACAACAAGTAAGCCTCCCACAATCAATACAACGGCCAACAGGAATAGTTATTGCTATAAGTGACGGTCTACTGACCATGACATGGAACACATGTAAATCTTTAGTTTGTGAAATGAATTCTTACTGTTTGGACTATTTTGTCTTCCCCGTTTTGAGAGAACAATATCTTCAATGCAGTACCTAGGCCAAGAACCTGGAGCTTTCCCCAAAGTCTGCATTTCTCACAGCCTACACAGTCCATCAGTGCACTGCAAGTGCAATGGAATAATTCTCATATTATGTCAAATGAAGGTATTGAAAAAACAAAAAAAGTGCAATAATCAAAAGGAAACCAAAATAGAGTTAAGACTGTAAATCCTGTTAGCAGATGAAAGTAAAAGGGTAAGGTATGAAAAGGACAAATACCAACCTTATGTTTCTGAACTGTTCTTGTGTTTTCTGTTTAAGTTCAGGTCCTCGTTGACCCTTCCAAAGTTTAGCTTCATCAAATGGAAGCGGGCAAGCGGCTTGAAGTTTTGGATTATAGAGTAGCTGTCTGATCAAGGAATGAGCCTTCAGGTCTTCCGTAGGATTACCAGTGTTATACTCGGCTTGTTCCAAGTAAGTCGCTGTCTGGAAGTTCACAGGAGGTTAAGCATTATGATAATGTCTAACAGAGACTACTCTAAATTCAAAGAAAATAATTGTATTTCAAAATATAGATGATGTGATAGCAAGCTCTGTTCCGTTGGTACGCACCTTTGTGACAGCTCGCAGAACAAAGAGGTAGGTAAAGTATAAGTTCCTAACACGTTCTGGATATCTCAAAACTCTATCGTACATCAAAGTTAGATTTTCACCCCACTGCAAGAAGACAAGAAAGCAAGATCAGACAGTACCACGAGTATCTGCAAGTGGAAACTAGACGACCAATCAACTTCCAAGATACTGCTGATATATGAACTAGTCAAACTAATTTCCACTTATAGACATGTTGTGGATTAAGATGACAGAATCACTGGCAGTGGAGTCTTGAACATCCTATAAGGACTGCAAAATTTAATAGCCAGCACGACTTGAGATTCATATTAGAACTAACAGTGAAATTAGACAATGGAACTACTCATGACAGCTTATCAAGGGAGGTTTAACATTATTCTCTGGAACCCAAGGTGTTGGTACTCTAGGTTTCAACTTTAAGGCCAACATCACAAGTAACGACCACACTATTCTCCAGAGAAATATGAGGATGCTCTCTATACTTGCCATGGTTAAAGATAAAGTAACCAGCCAACATGTTCTGTATAGTTCATACCGAGTTTGTATCTTCATCAAGCAGGTAGTCAGCTGCGATATGGATAGAAATGGACGAGTGGAGACCTGAAATCAATTTATATAACAATCTCTCCTCTTGGCAAAGCTCTTCAGATGGATCTGTTGATAATGTTGAAACTTTAAATATTAGTTTTGCTCTTGGCGGCAACAGATCTGCTTATAACATTACTAGAAACTTGAAACACCATGTACAGCAGGATAAACAAACATAGGTAAAGGAAGTTAATATAGTAAGATCCCTCAGAAGTCAAAGTTTATAAGCAAGTCATTCTAATTCTTCTATGAAAACAATTAGACAAGCATGTTCGTCAAAATAGAAAGACCAATTCGCTAAGCAAGTAAGAGCTTCACTTACACTTGGGACAGTTCTCAGAGTAAACAGCATCCCATATCCTTCTAGCTGATGGACCAGTGTATCCAGTATAGCGTTCAGGATTCAGTTGCAGATTCACATACGTCATCTCATCTGTAAATGAAAAGTTGCATCAGCAGCAACATTTGATAGCTCAATATAAACTATCCCTAACCAGACAAATAGTAGCAATAAATTGTGAGATCTGATCATTAGTATTTCTACATCAGGGGTGGCAGAATAGTGAATACCAATCCCAACTCAAACCACAAACATAAAAGATTTATAGGATGAAACATAAAGACAAACATAAATGAAAACGACACCAATTTCATATCTTTGAAGCTTAGGGACCAGAAAGGGGACTAACCATTGTTAGTCTCATCATCATTTGTCCATGGGTTATCAGTCACTGTCCAACCCCTAAAAGCTCTATGATCAAGGGTGCGATCGACGGCAGCCTCCGGCTTGCCTTCTTGACAAATAGGCGCATCTGAGGGCAGACCACGGCGGAAAGGCCTCTTAAACAACTCAGGGAACTCATTATCCGGACATTCACAGACACTGCAATCCCTCAATTTGCACATGCCATCATCCGGCCAGAAAGGACAGTCACACCATAATTTCACCTATTAGAGAGCACAAATGGCCAAAGAAAAATCAGCCACAAGAAAAGCTAACCAAGCAAACAACATTATCAGTTCAGTATGATCGGGAATGAGCAGCAAGAGATAAAGACAAATACAATTACAGAATCATGCTTCTTGATCACAAAGCAAAGAAATTGCTGGCACGGCAACATGTATAGTAATGCTTTGAAAATGACAAGTTCCTAACTTTAATGAGAACCCAGTGGAGTTTGGGGGGAAGGACCTTGAAATAACGGAAGAATGGGGTTTTCACAAGCTCCTGGAGAGACGGATACAATACTTCCTCGTTCAAAAGGTTAGCCGTCTCGTAGTTGCAACAGCAATCTTCCACAATCCCAGTATATTTCTGTGCACACACAGACGAAATTAAGAACTGCCCAGTCAAAATCAGCTGAAACAATGATGTAAAACGAACACTCAGATGGGGACAGAATCTCAAATCGCCCCTGAATCACTTAATCGCAAAGCATTCGAAATAGAATACCAGGTCTAATACGATTGACAAAGCTATGAACTTGTATAATAATGCATGTCAATCCCCGAGCCGCAGACCAAGTCAAACGGAGGCAAAGAATACAGAATTCGAACAGAACAAAACGTACCTGCTGCTGGGAGCAGCTGCAGAGCTTATTGACTTTACCGAAGAGAGAGATCTTGGGAGAGGCGGTGGAAGCAGCGGCCAGAGCGATGATCAGAGCAGTTATAGCAAAGAAAACCGCCCACAGGCGCCGGCTACCACCCTCGGTCTTGCTCTTGTTATCCATCACTGACTCCGCCATTCACGACGAAAGATAAGATCAAGAAAACGGGAAATGATCAAAACGGCGAGCGATGAGGTGAATTTGGGGGGGTTAGGAAGGAAGAGATTCAGTATTCGTTGCTGTTATATCTCTCAACTAAAACCCCCGAAACTGGTTCCGGGGGAAATGGGGAGAAAGGTGATTCTGGTCGCCGCTCTGACCTTTTCTGTGCTCTTGATTTCAAAACAGGGGGCAGGGTCTTGGAAATGGCGGCCGGGATGATCAAAGAATGAATACAAAGAAGAGAATCAAAAGTAAGTCGGAAGATAGAAAACCGGTGTGGGAAAGAAAAGGAAGGTGGGGAGGAAGGAAACTCGGTCGTGGGCCTTAAGTCGGCCCGTTTAATTGAATTGAACACGGGGAGGGAGAAGGTAAGTGGGAGGGACGTGGCAAGCTGGGGAGGCGTACAGGTACAACCTGAAGGAACCTCTATTCCTCTCCTCTGGCTGTAAGGACTCATGACGTGTTGATATCCATTCATATGGTGACAGGTGTCACGCGATTTAGTTTTTTTCGAATTAAATAGTGTGTTTCTGTTACCAGCAGGTAATCGAGCTCATCTTTTAGCCTCCTAATTATGAAGTTGTTTGTTCTGTAATTGCAGCTAATTAATTAATCTAATAACTAATAAAGCATTTTATTATATTTTATTAGTTGCATAAATATTATTTTTTTCATATATGTATGCAGAAATTATGTTAAAATAGTGGAAAATCTTGTAGGTTCCCATTTTATATAGTGCAATTCCAAAATATTTCATAATCTATGCAGTTGAAACTACGTACATATATAATCTATCTATCTATCTATCTATACTATATATTATGGCAATTCAAAAAAAATTTCTTGCCACATAAGCACTTGAAGGATCCACAATTTGCCAAGTTGGACAACTTTTTTACAAACAAAAAATTAGTTATTAATGTATTTATGGAGCTACCTCTCTCTTCTTTAATATTTCCATTTCTTTTATCCAATTATTCTTTTTCATTTATTCTTTTTTGTCTTTAATAATAAGTTACATGTTGATAAACTTAATCAAACAAACATAAATAATAATTTTTTTTAAATAAAAAAAATATAAATAAGAAAAAAGAGAGTGACATATATCACATTTATTTAAATAAAAAATATCTGATTAAACCTTATGAAATAAATTTTCTACTCATTTTTACTAAAATTCAATGATAAGTTACATTTTGATGAAAAAATAAACAAACATACACATAAACACTTATGTTTTAATCGATTAAACCAAAATATATATGAAAAGAGAGAAAATAAACATTTGTCATTCAATTACCTTTGAAAAATAAACTAAATTACTTTATATTTTGTTGCAATGAAACACTCTATTATTCGTACAATATATATATATATATATATATATATATATATATGGCGAGTTCTATGGTACCCTGGGTGAAATCCGGGGTACCGCATACCTTGAGTATGAAAACACTATCTAGACCTTGAATTGACCGATCTTTCGGACATGATACTATACTCTAACACTTAAAGATCAAAATCTAGGTGTTAAATCTCCCAATCTTATACTCCAAGATCAATTTAATTAGAAATAATAATCGACGGTTATGATTCATCCAAATATAGGCACAAAAAGGAATGCACCATCTTAGGGTTTATAGATTATGATTTAGATAATTATGACCTAGGGTTCACTCATTAAGGGTTAGGGTATAATATCAGACACAAAAATCCTGGTAATTCGAGGTCTAGATAGAGTTTCCATACTCGAGGTATGCGTTACCCCGGATTTCACCCGGGGTACCATAGAAGCCACCATATATATATATATATATATATATATATATATATAAAATAAAACAATATTATTTAGCAAAATGTCAGAGTACAATCTTGATCGAGTAGTTACAGTTATTTATTTAAAAAAAAAAATTCTTATTCATTCAGACCATGTTCTACCTTAAATTCCTCAAATGAAGAGGAATCGCATGTGCAATAATTTGATAATGTGACCTAAGTTCACATTAATAATATTTCTTCTATATCATGTCGATTGAGCAAACTCTATTGAGGTTCTAAGTCGTATGTTAAGAAATTTTCTTTCAGACTTGGAGTTATCTTCGACGATTATAAATCAAAATTTTCAAAATGACTTAAGTAAGATTGTTGACGAACTTTGACTTTTTTTTTTTGAGAAAATAATAGATTTCATAGAAATCACAAGTCAGCCTCTGCTGCAATTACATCAGCAATTTGCCCAGGAGCACTATCCTGCCAAACCTTGTCTCTAAAAACATTAAAAGGGAAGAAATGTGCTGAGAGGTGAGCAACCCCATTTGCTTCCCTGTACACAAAACTCCAATCCACCACATTAACCTCCGACCCAGCTGAAATAAGGCTACTGCACACACTCTCAATCTCTGTTCTACTATTTTCTCTTCCATTCAGAATGTTGATCAGTCTCTGGCAATCCGATTCCACCTGGATGACCCTTAATCCCTTGTCTTTGGCTTTCTCCAAACCAAACTTCAAAGCCATTCCTTCCGCAATCTCAGGAGACCAACCAGCCTTGACTGTTCTGCTACCAGCCAGGATCATTTTGCCATTCCAATCTCTGATAATGAAACCCATTCCCACCTCTCCTTTGCCACTGCAACCCGCATCTGAATTGAGTTTATAAATTCCTTCTGGTGGCTTCTTCCATCTGTGAATCCTTCTATCTGCTCTTCCACTTCTGTTGTTGTCTTTTCCCTGCACTGCAACATAGTCTTGTATGAAGTCATCAGCTTTTGTAAACACTTCCCATTCATGTAGCATTTTGCTATTAAACAAACAGTTATTTCTTTCTTTCCAGAAAAACCAAAGCAGAGAGCTGAATCTTTCAATTTCCCCTTCTTTTGCTTCCTTTATCACCCTGAATATCCACTCTTTGCAGGAAAGGCCATCTGCCATCTGGAACAGACTTGCAACAGGCGTTTTTGGCCAGATCCTCCCCACCCAACTGCAATTCACCAGACAGTGTTTTAAAGTTTCTTTCATTCCACAGTTTGGGCATTCGTCCCCTCTTCTTTTACTCTTTTGCTAATCTTAACACCAACTGGAACTATATTATGAGCCACTTTCCATAAAAAGACTTTGATCTTCCCGGGGACATTCAGTTTCCAGAGTTTATTCCAACCAGTATTCAATTCCTGATCATCAACACTCCCTGCCACCCAACTCCATATCATATCATATCATACCATAGGATGAGACACAAGATTCCTTGAAAAATAATAGATGTGAAGGTTAGAAAAATCTTTGTTTAGAATCTACGATAAACATCACGTTCATCAACTACTAACATAGGCATTTACCAAATAAAGGTTGGCAATTTTTAGTAAGACCGTCAATTGGGATAAACATATTTATTAAGCAATCAAGTATCTTTATCCAATAACCTCAACTCTTAAAATTGGTTTTCAGTTCGTCTAGACTCGAGAAAAAGGAATTAATATATGTTGTATAAGATAATAAGTTATTGCAAATAATCAAATGAAATACACTGATATTGTTCAAATGATAAGACATTTTAAATGCACTTAAAATATGTGTGTATTGGAGACACTCTTTATCAATTATTAATATATAAACGATAAAATCTTTGAAAATTACACATTCAACGACCATATTAAGACCAAAAATCCTCGATAGTGTGTGTGTGAGTGCCTTAGATTGAGATTCTAAGTCAACATATAAACAATGACCACCGGTTGAGGTTTAGTATAAACTTCAAAAATTAACAATGGATACATATTGTATAATATATTAAATTTAAGTGTCTGGATAAAAAAAAACATCCAAAATGGAAATGAGTCGAGATTAGAGAATTTAGTCATCATGAGGGCTACAGTGTGTGTCAAGTTTCAATATGGATGAATAAATCCAATAATGAAGTATATTTACTAAGAATTTCTCACTAAAAAGTGGTAGTTTGTCCAAACTCGAGGATCCTGAATGTGTATTGGATTTCCAAAGGACCTAAAATCCCAATCCCTTTTGAGGGCTAAATACTTCTGATCACAACCATAGGTGCTAAAGTAGAATGAAAAAGAAGCAAAAAAAAAAAAGAAAAGAACATAACCTCTGATAAGATGAACATAATAAAACCATATCGAGCTATGATCCCGTCATCCCTACCTTTTATATATTATATATCGAACAATAGACAACCCCAATGGTTCTCTGGAGTTATGGGGGTAAAAGCGAGATCTCTAGATAATTTTGAGTGTAATATACACACACATGTATATATACATGTATATGTAATATCAAGATATACTATACTTTTTATTTAACTCAAGATACGATAGGAGATAGGTATTACGAAGTATGTGCATAAATTAGAGGTTACAGAATTAGGGACTAGAGTTCACCTATTAGATAGTATAATGCCCCAAAAAAATCCGGTTAATTCGGGTCTAAATAGTAAAACTCAATGGTCGTATGGTAGTATGAACGCAAGAGTATAACGTACTCCTGGCGCACGGTAGCTTGAACTATATATATGTGTGTGTGGTTTAGGTTGGCGTACACTAAATATTAGTGTTTTAGTTGACAAATTTTGACATAAGTTCTAAATGGGACGTGACAGCGACATAATTTATGATTCGAAAACCGAAGCATCACAAGTGAGTGTGCTAAATATTGGAAATTTCAATATAAACATACTACAAACTCGGTTACAAAATATTTAGAAGATCCAAAATGATTTAAACATATAAATTATAAAATAAATCTCTCCGGCCAACAGGCCGGGTAAAAGGCTAGTTGAGATTATACAGATTGTCACTAAAGTTTACATGAAAATCGACATATTTCTTCCCAATTGCATGAAAATCTCAACCTACCAATTACATCCAACCAAGGTTGTCAACCCGCGGGGTTGACCCGGACCCGGTTGAGCTAGTGGGTCAAGGGTTAATGGGTCACCCGTTTTAGCCCGGTTTAGCCCGGAAATATGGAAAGCGTCATTATATTGTACTTATCCTGATAAATTATATCAAATCTTATATAAGATATGAGTTCTAACATATAATATTACACCAAAATAACATTTCGTACTTAGATTCAACATATAGTGAAAATTCACACACACTTATATAACATTAATATTCAAATGTTCAACTTAGAATTCCAAAGATTGAGTTAGGCGAAAAGAAAAATCGGAAAATAGGCGCATTTCGCAAAACAAAGAAAAAAATGACACAATTTAACCTCCAACCCGGTACCTTGTGGCGTGCGACCCATTTTTCTCACCGGGTCAGGGTCAAAGTGGTTCAACCCGCG